CAATCATTTCTGTCCATGTTTATGATCTAGATTATTTTTCTTAATTTTTCTTCTTTTGGTTGTGCCCTTCAGTTACTAAATATTGAACTTGTACCATGGTATCCATATAAAAGCATCTTGCAGAGAAATATAGTTGGTTATTCACTATAAAATTCTTTTCAATATCCATGTAATTGAAAATAAATTTATATTTTATGAACCTACTGACAAAGTAAGACTTTTTTGCCTTCTTTGTCTAAAATGCCTTTCTTCAGGAGACTATCCAGCTACAGCCTATCCTGAAACTACTTGCTGTTAGATTTATATATATGTATGTTGTTATTACTGACATGCAAAATCTTTTCAAATTAAAAAGATAGTAATCTCTTCATGTTTTTGCTATATGTTGGATTATGTCTGTGACTATAAACTTAAAGAATGTTTGATCACTGCAGTTTAACCATCTGAATTGTGAAACATGATTTCACCATAGCAGTCAGATTTGGTCACAATGGAGGTCAATTGAATGGTCAGTTACACATTGTCCAGTTCTCCAAATCACCTATAATAGACAGTGTAAATCAGAAAAAGCAATATAATAGGATAGTAAAGAATGAACAACCAAACCAAAAATTCTTAAGTATGTTCCTAAAGTAATTGCAGACACAATCTAAATGCAGGTTAACTGCACATCACTGTTGCTAAAATTATGAATCAGCATGTGGCAACTCTTCCTTAACCCGGAAACTTTCTTTTAGAATGCTGTAAAGCTCATAGACAAGGGCAGCTATCTAGAGATCTGGGAGAATGACTGGCTCAAAAAAGAGGTAAGTGGAATTCATCAAAAGCAATTTCTTCGTTCTCACTTTTTTTAAACTAGAAATGACTTTTCATTATGAACTGAAGTCATGAGAAGAGCATGGTACCTTGACTGACTGAGACAAAATAAAATTCAAGTGGAGTCCTCATCTCACTACAAGCTGTTACTCAACAAATATCATAAATAATCTCAATAATAACCAAAAAAAAGTTGGGGTTTATAATTCACACAGTAAACTCAAATGTGCAAAGTTTCTTTATGTCCTAAAACTTGATTTGGTCTTCCTCATGAGCCTACTTCCTCCTGGGTGATGGGGCAAGTCTAAAGGACCATTCTAAGCTGATTCTCTGCTGGGTTAAATTGCCTCTTTTGGATGACATGGTCTCCTTTGGTCTGTACCACTGACATTTGAACCAGATAATTCTTTGTTACGAGGTACTGTACTGTTTTCCCTAGATTGTACATGCCGGTCCTCTGCTCTTACTTCCATATCTCCTTACCCTCATCTGTCTAGAAAACTCCAACTCGGCCGGGCGCGGTGGCTCAAGCCTGTAATCCCAGCACTTTGGGAGGCCGAGACGGGCGGATCACGAGGTCAGGAGATCGAGACCATCCTGG